GCCCAATAAAAGATATCTCCGCGGAAAATGTTGCTGCTGTATTCCTCGACAGATGGATCGCTAATTTTGGTGCACCTTCTACAGTTACTTCTGACAGAGGTTCACAGTTCCGATCTCACCTCTTCAATGAATTTTTCCGCATTTTAGGAATCGACCACATCACTACAACAGCATACCATCCAGCAGCGAATGGACTAGTGGAACGATTCCACAGACAACTAAAAAGCTCATTGATGGTACAACCTGATGTTTCTAGATGGAGTGAATCTCTACCTCTTATTTTACTAACCATACGTTCCACAATTAAAGAAGACCTCCAATGTACTCCTGCACAGCTCGTCTATGGAACTAATTTAACCTTGCCGGGTCAACTAGTGACGCATAATGGCAAACCCGTATGTACGGATCCCACTTCCTTTTGCGAAAGACCAATGAGTCATATGAGTAACATTAAGCCTGTTGTTTTAAAAGAGCAAGTTAGCAAGCATCTAGATACGTGTAAATTTGTATTTGTTCGTGTTGACTCCGTAAGACGTCCTCTACAACACCCTTATGAAGGACCGTATGAAGTAGTTGAGAGGCAAACAAAATATTTTACAATCAGTAAAAACGGAAAAAAAGAAATAGTTTCAATTGACTGGATAAAACCTGCTTTTGTAGAGTCCGAAACACATGACAGCCGAAAGCCGTCTAAAGACAGCAGCAGTTGCACAACGCAGTTTCCTGTGTTTCCAAATAATTCTTCACCTAGTTCTACGAAATCAACACTTCATAAAACAGACGATTCTAAAGTTACAGCTCCCACAAATTTAGCTCCTAGTTCCGCCACCTTAACTTCTACGAAAACAACTCGTTCAGGAAGACATGTACATTTTCCCAAACGTTATGTTGAATTCATTACTTAATTTTTATTTTCTCATTTTCTGTAATGTGGTTAAATATCCATATTAGCAGAGTTACTAATAACATTCATTTTGCGATCAACTTTTTTTCTAAAAAAACATTTCGTGTGTACTATCAATATTGATAAATTCGTTGTGTTTTTCTCTACATGTGTATGTGTTTCGTATGAGGTGTATTGTTAAGGGTGTAACGATATTCAACTTCGTTGGACTCGTTCAGCTTATCACTAACTGTCTACACGATTTATACATGTACTTACATTTTTCGATAAACCATTAATTTAATTACCGTTATTATTAATGAAACTATTATTATTATTGTTATTATACACTCCGTTATTGTTGTTAAACCTTTTATATACATAAAAAAACAAGATACACAATTTTTTTCTCTTTACTACAAGAGAAACATTTTGTTCGTAAATATGTATACACCTATGAATTTTCATTATAACATTTGTTTAATCTTTTCGTTGTGTAATTTTCTTTTCCCTCTAAAGCATATAGAGTTTTACGTCGGGCATGCTTCCACCGACGCATGCCCTAAGGGGGGAGTTATATGGTGACGTATATTCAATGATTTTTGGTAAAGACAAAATAAAAACCGTATTTTCTCTGCAGTTTGTCACACTATATGTAACCACATTTTTATTCAATATCTGTTGTTTTTCTGTATTACTTGTTAATAACAACGATAATTGTTTCGATGAAGATATACGATCTTACTACCGCGAGGTTTAAAAATATAAACTGTAACGGGATTAAAATCATCATGTATGATGTTGTTAATAGATTTTGTTTTCCTTCTATTGCAGGGCAAGCAAGAATAAACGCTTTAGAAGAAGAAAAGCAAGCCCTACACGCACTGAACTTACAGGATGACTCATAAGACCGTTTTGTAAACTAGCTCTTTTTCTGTACAAAACCCGCGGATTTTAATTTTTAAAATAAACGTCTATTGGCCTCCATTCCTCGTTCTCTCTGTGGTGTAGAGTGTTCAGTTAACATTGTGTGTGTTGTGGCTTTAGATCTTCCCGTCTTCCCGTGACTGCTGATTACACGTGTTACAAAACCGCTATCTACACCGTTTGTTCTTCTGCTTTATTGACGGCGGTTTTGATTGAAGACTATAATGGTGTTATAACATCCCTTTAGCCTTCCGAACACCACGTTGGAATTCTGGCACGGATTATTATATTATAATACTATTGGACGCAATCTTTCTCAATACTCCGTTGGTACAATTACTTGCAGAGGAGCCTTCGTTAATCGAGTGAACTTATTTGTGGTTGTTGTTCTCACGAAGCAGCTCACAAGTAACATTTGTTCTATAGTAACTGTTATTGTCTGTTTGTATAATATACCATTTGTATCGTAACTATATTTTGTTACTCTTGGTTTTTACCCACAGACAGACACTTTGGATTTTTTTTTACTAATAATGATTTTTGGTAGATTATTATTAAACTAGTGTATTGATATACCGTTCATAAGCTCCTTTTGATGGGAACCACCACAACTCAACATGGGTGACAGATTTATGTAGTAGATGATTTTGATAGGGCGACGTTTGGTCAATACTACTGAGCCAGAAACATGTTAACTTCGTTATGGCAAGCAAATGCCGCAGGAATATCCTCACTCAGTTTGTTCAGTGTGCGATATTTGTCTCTCTTAATTGTGTATCTAAACGTTGTTTTGCCTTCCTCAAACTTAAACAAAAGAGCACAACAACTCATTCTACTCTGACTTCATTTTTGGGCATATTTATCGTAGGCTTTTATGTAACATGATAAATTCCCAATCGCCTATGGGAAATAGGCGATTCATACCATGCTTAACGTTTGCTCACAGTGACTTCCTATACGTATGGCGTTGGCCTCTGAAACTAACATGGAGTTTAGTTCCTGATTACCAGAAAAGTGTATCTCGGTTTACGAAGTGAAGACGGGTGTTTTAAAATAGGTTCTGCTATTCATCTACATTTATGAAGTGTTTTTCTTGTGTTTATTGCATTTTCTCAAGCTCTGTTCCAACCCACGTTGTAATCATTTCTAGAGTAGATTTGAACAAAGCTTATATGACCGGTGATTAATATGCGAGGAGACTGAATGATAAAAGAATGCGACTAATACGCAAATATAGCTTTGAGACTGCATTCCACAGATCAGTGTTTCAGTATAATTCATAGAAAACTCTTAGCTCCCTCTATAAAATCTGCTGAGTATTCTTACGTCCATCTTTTTCTGCCTGCACTCATAATCACAGTTCCCTTATATTCCCTGGATAAACGTCCTACTAGCATTATTGCCTCGTTCCGTATTTTCTAGAACAACTTTTTGTTGAGTTTTCGTCTGTTATTCTGCCTTATTTTTGATATTTCTTATAATTACTCCTCATTTTTGGGTTCATATTGAAGAATTTAATAGTAGGCCTATTATATCTGGACGTACTACAAAAGTTAGTCGACTTACACAAAAAACGCACTTCACTCTATAATCTATCCAGTTTTCTGGAAGATAATGTAAAAGCAACTGTATCCCCCCATAAAGTAACAACAAATGTAACCAGTGAAATCATCCACCAACTGCATAAAGCCGATATAATGAACAAGGTTGGCTACCTTATCTGAAACATCTCATCGTTTAGAGTCCTTGCTTACTTACGCCTGTTACCCGTAGTGGAGGAGTATGAGCTATCCACAAGCACTCTCCATCCACTCTGTCCAGGGAAACCCTTTGCAGTTACTACTTGTCCTTTTCGTGTCTGCTTCCAATTCTCGGTGCAGTGTGTTCTTCAGCCTTTCACTTCCCCGTTTTCCATCAAGATTCCGAGTTAGAACTTGCCTCGTAATGCAGGTTTCTGTAATATCTGTCCTATCCCATTTCCATCGTCTCTTCCTGATTTCCTCTTCAGATGGAACCAGCTTCGTCCTCTCCTACAGAAGGCTGATTCTGATGGATTACGGTCAACAGATATTGAGTATCTTGAGTGGACAACTGGTGATAAATACTTTCACATATTTGGTGATGGTTGTGATAATTCTCCACGTTTCAGCTCTATTCAACAGAACTGTCGAGATGTTTGTATTGAAGATTGTGACTTCGATATTGGTCGACAGTTGTTTTTAATTCCATATGTTCTTTAACTGTAGGAATTCAACCCTTACTTTGCCAGTTCTCGCTTTTGCGTCTGCACCAGATCCTCCATGCTCATCGATGATACTGCACAGGTACATGGAAAACTCCACATTTCCAAGAGTTCCTCCACCAAATGTGATTGAGTCGGTGTTCCCCGTGTTGCATTTGAGGATCTTGGTTTTCACCTTGTGTATGTTGAAGTCTACTGGTGCAGAGGATCCTACTACATTAAGTGTCTGCATCTGTGTTTGTTCGTGTGTATGGGATAGAAGGGACAGGTTATCTGAGAATTACAAATCCCCTAATTGATTCCGACCTGTCCATTGTATTCCGTGTTTCCTCTCCAATGTCGAGGTCTTCGTAATCTAGTCGACCACCAGAAGAAGCGAGATTGCATTTGCTTAGGGAAAAGCTCAAATGTTTGTCGCAGCCAATCAGCTACCCGTGTTATTTATGACATGTTCAGTCTCACGATATTAACAAACGAGTTGCATGTAATAAATTGTTGACCATGTAGTTTTACGTTTGACTGAGTTAGTTCATTCAAAATTAGAGTGATCAACTATGTGAAGCACAAATGAAAGGTGTTGTAATAGTATGCGAATATATTTCTAGTGTCAAATAGGTCTAAATTTACCGATACGTCATTCTTACTTCTGTCTTGGCATATATGCATGTGACTTCTGAACAGATAACTGTACTGAAACTACTCAAAGATTACTTAATTAAGGATGAGCTAAGTGTCTATAAAAGAAGACATATTCTCCTCCATCAAAAACTACCTAGTTACATAATTTACAGACGAACTCTTCATGTCAATCAATAAACTTTAGCAACTACAAAAGTTGTAGTCTGTTGGAAGTTCTTGTGCTTTTTCATACGCATGGTTCAAAGTATTGTTTTGCATCTTTTCTGGAAATATTTATTTAGGTTAGTTGAGCTAGAAAAATCACATTATCGTTATTAGTATTATAATTTTTTCAACTTTTGAATTGTTTTTGTACAGTTTCTGTTTTTGCAACAGTTAGAAATAGTCTAACAAAATCGAGGCGAAAATATACAATTGAAAAGAAGAAAAACAACTCATTATGATGATTTTCTAGTACTTCTTGAAATTTTCATTGCTGATATGAGTGTTTGCTTCATATGTTGAAAACAATCCCGTAGACATTGGAGACCATTTCGTAGAGCATCGATGGCTGAACCTTCTGAAGTGTTTAAAAAACATATAGGTTTTCATTAATTTGATGAATGAATGCTATGTTATGCTTAAAAATTGATTATATGACTGGGTACTTGACCGTCAACTAACAGATGCTACAATTACAGAGGGGAATTCGGATTTGAATCAACTAGTAAGATTCAAGCACATAAAAATTGGAAAGCGTATTATTCATCAAATGATTTTTAACAATTTAAAATTAAAGCTAGAAAGAGAGATATGTGCGTACGCTGTCACGTGTGATTAAGCATACCTATTCATGCAGACATGATAGTAATAATTGTTAAATTGGTACTGTTTGAATAATGCAGTGTGTTAAATAGATTAGTTGAAGAACTTGACAAAATTACCACAATCACCACGGCTCAGATGGGTATCCAAACTTCTGTAATTCGCCATACTTCTCTTCAGGTTCATCACGTTTGTCATACTTATCTCTGATGCTACCTTCTTCGACTATCCCGTCACATTCTCTCAATAATAACAAACTATTTGGCGACAAGGCTAGTTTATCGTTAGCATCTTGAACGACCGGAGTTAAGGGTCGATCGTTCAATATCCTTTCAATCTCGATCAAATAAGTGTTTAAAGTCTCATCGGTTAGAGTCTGCTCTCTAGTTATCAACAATAACAGTCGGCGTATGGGCCTAATCATCCTTTCCCAAACTCCACCCTTGTGGCTGGATGAGGGCGGGTTAAAATGCCACTGACTTTGTCTAGCTGACAGTTCTTTGTCTATTTTCTGTTGATTCAACTGTTGCACAAATCTCCTTAATTCAGAGATCGCACCCAAGAAATTTGACCCATTGTCACTGTAAATTTCGGCAGGCTTCCCTCTTCTTCCAATAAAACGTAACAAGGCCATTATAAACGAATCAGTATTCAAACTATGTGTCATTTCAATATGTACTGCTCGGGTTTGCAAGCAAGTAAATACACATCCATATCTTTTTTCTAATGATCTTCCTCTTTTGACAAAAAGGGGTCCGAAGTAGTCTACTCCCACGGCTGAGAAGCTATACCATCCTTGTTGCACTCTACAAGCTGGAAGTGGTGCCATCGATTGTTGCCCTGTATTCATCGTAAACCGCCGGCATGTCACACACTTTCCTATCACTCTCTTAACCGTGCTGGTTCCTTTTATTATCCAATATCTTTTTCGAATCGTGGCCAGTACTTGTGACGTTCCTGTGTGCCCTTGTTCCTTATGATAATGTCCAATTATCATTTCTGTCACTAAGTGTCGACTGGGTAATATTATTGGATGTTTAAAGGCATTTGAGAAATCTGAGTAGCTTAGTCGGCCTCCAACACAGAGTAACCCATCAAGCATTATCGGTGATAAGCCCTTCAGATCATTGTGACTAACTACTTTACCATTAGTTTTAAATCCACTAAGTATTTCTCCATACACTTCTTTCTGAACCATCAACAAAATTTTACGCTTGGCGATGTCAAGTTCTTTGACCTTTAAACATCCTAGATGAACGGATCCTTCATGACTCGGTGAACGAAGCACCATCAGAAATTCTATGAACCTTCTAAGCCAGGCTACGGCCCTGACTAATTTCAACCACTCGGAGTAATAAGAGAGAATAGGTGACATGTGCTTTATACTACTCAAGTTAACCACAGCAGTTTTTCTAAACTCAATATCGTCAGGAGTAGGTTCCGGACAGTCAGTGATTGTTGTACAGAATTCGCCATGCAGTAAGGTAGGACATTTGAACCAAGATTCCAGATCAGTCATTTTTTGTATACCTGTTGATGTCCAATCAGCTGGATTCTGTGACGACTTTACATAATTCCATTGTTCAACCTTCGTATACTGGTGCACCACAGCGAGGCGGTTGGCTATATAGGTGCTATATCGGTTCTCAATATTCTTAATGTAGTATAACACTGTCATGGAATCTGTATGGAAGTTTACTTCGCAGAAAAAATTAGGCAGACTTCTCCGTAATACTTCACTAAGCCTCACACTTAACACCGCTGCCGCCATCTCAAGTCCCGGTATAGTGACTTGTCTGATAGGTGCTACCCTAGACTTGCTGTACAACAAGATACAATATGGTGGCTCCTTCAAATAGCTGACTCGTGCGTACGCAACTGCTCCATAACCAACCTCTGAAGCATCACTGAACAAGTGCAATTCTACTTTCGCGTCGGGTTCGTCGATTTTCCTCTTGATACCTCGAGCTACCGTGACGTGACCTATCTGACGCATAAAACTTACCCAGCCTAGCCACGCGGACATGTATGGCTCGTTGAGAGGCTGATCCCAGCCTATTTGGGACCTACATAATTTTTGCGAGAGAAGTTTGGCAGTAAAACAGACTGGAGCAATCAGACCCAGAGGATCGAACAGAGAAGAAACTATAGATAAAATACCTCTCCTAGTCAGAGGCCTTTCCGGTGCATCAAAGTAAAACTTAAATACATCTTGTTTAAAATCCCATTCTACACTTAGGGTTCGATGATTAGTGTCGTAATCCGTTAACATTTCTATCAAGGACTGTTCTTTACATACATCAGGCAAGATGGTCCTTACCTCCTCCGAGTTGGTAACACATTTCTTTAGTTTGAAACCTCCTCTACATAATAATTCACATATCTGCTTGACGAAACTCTTTGCTTGATCACAAGTGGGAAAAGATACCAAGCAATCATAAATATAGAAATTATTTTTAACAGCATCTACGACATAATCATCATAACCGTCAGAGAATATCTGGGCCGTCTTATTCAAGCAAAAGTTCGCGCAAAACGGCGATGATATGGCGCCAAATGGATGAGATGTCATTTGAAACTCGGATGGTTCTTTCGACATGTCTCCCCCCCTGCCACCACAGAAATCTTAAAGCTCCTCGATCAGACTCAGGGACCTTCACTTGCATGAACATTTCTTCAACATCCGCAGAGACTGCAATTGCTTCTTTGCGAAAACGCAATAATATACACACTAAATCAGCAGTTGTGTCGGGTCCTTGATAAATCATATCATTTAGAGAAACACCCGCAAACTTGGCGGCACAGTCAAGGACCACTCTCAGTTTTTCTGGCTTTTTCGGGTTTATAACTGCATGGTGAGGTAAGTACCAACGGGGGCGATAACTAGGTTGCAATTGTATTTCACGGATCTTTTCCGCATAGCCCTTTGTAAAATTACTTTCAATACTTTTGGTATACCTTACGTGTAGACTGTTATCCTTCAACAGTTTACGCTTCAAATTCTGTAATCTACTGTTGGCTACTTCATAGTTTCCCACTTTCCTATTTGGATTCTCTTTCCATGGTATAGGAACTACGAAATGGCCGTTGTCGAAGTGCGTGCCCTCTTCCACAATATTTATAGCTGCCTTATCCTCTACCGATAATGATTTATCATTTGAATAAGCATCGGGAAACTCTGCGTCATAAAACTTACGTATTTCGTTCTCTAATGTCTGTATCTTACTGGTGTGATTAACCACTCTTTTCCTATAATCCGGATACGATGCAGGTCCGAAGACCGTCCACCCCAGCAACGTTTTCACAGCGTACGGGTTCTTCCTTCCACCCAACCGTTGGTCTAACACCCAATGTGCTTCTGGTACGTCGCAACCAATCAACAGTAAAACTTCTTCAGAATCTAGGCTATCTATTGGCACATCATTTAAATGCGGCCACTTAACTAGGTTGTTCATTGCTGACTTTGTTGGCTTATGACCTGGTATACCTGCCACAATCAGAGCTCCTTCAATCGTAACATGTTCAGGTCGATCTAAAGAATATACTTCAAAAGGCGCACTCGCGACCTTCATTGTTCTATTACCGCCCACAGTCTCAACTACCACTGATGCTTCGTCTTCGCTCAGCCCGAGAGACCTCAAACAGTGATTTTATCAGTGTCACATCAGAACCGTTGTCCAACAGAGCATAACCCACAATCTCGGCCTTTCGCGATTTCAACCGTACGGGAATCATGCCTAAGCACACTTGACTGATTAGTGATTTAGTATATCCGCAACAATTCGAGATACCAGGTTTCTCATTCTCGCTGTGCAACAAGGAATGGTGTTTCTTTTCACAACCCTCAACGTTACAACGCTTTGTCAGCTTACATTCCTTAACTCTATGTCCTTGTCTAAGACAGACGAAACAGATACCCTTGCTTTTAGCGTGAGACCATCGGTCTTGCACTGTAAGCGCTAAGAACTGTGGACGTTTATCAATGGCGTGGTCGTAGGAACACATACTGCATTTAGTTTTCGTTGTCGAACTATTCCCTTGCTCTGATTGCACGTGACAGTTCGTCTTTACGTTATGCCCTTTTCTTGAACGGTTTGCTAACCGTCCAAATCTACTACAAGCCACTCTTGCACGCGATGCGATAAACTGAGTGAGCTCGTCGAAGGTCGGTTCCCTGTTATCTTCAGTCAATTTATCCACCCAGTCCGCCCACTGGGCTTGCATAGGTTGAGGCAAGAGTCTCACTATTCTTTCCAAAGTAACTAAGGAATTTAGATCAGAAGTATAATTCATCTGTTCCAAGGCCATAGCACAGTTTTCCATTTGAATAGCCAAGTTTGATAGTTGGTCCCCGTCAATATACTCAAAATTCACAGCACTGAATAAATCCTCTAGTGTTTCTCGAGCAATTACGTGAGACTGTCCGAAAAAACGTTTTAAAATCTCCCTTGCTCTTTTATAGCCAGAGGATGCCTCCATCATGACGCAACCTTCAATAGCTGTTTTAGCCTTGCCCTTACAATAGTGTATCAAATAGAGCAAAGCTGTCTATCATCCGTGACTCTTGATGCTACATACGTCTCAAATTGCCTTATAAACTTCCAGTATCCTCTTGGCTCTCCATCGAAATAACTCAGTTCAACCTTTGGTAGTTCTGGGCCAACAACATGAACTATAGGCAACATGCTCTTTCCTGGTAATTCAGGCCTTTGCTTCTCCTTTGAACTAAGATTTTTTACGTCATCTGACATCGAATTAAGACTAGAATCACTACCATGATAATCAACCCTATTTGAGTCTGAACCATGACCCTTAAGGACGTCAAAAGGCACTTGCTTGACAATAGGGGATTCTTCATTAACATCGACGAACTTTGAGCTTGATTTCCTTCGACGATTAACTGGCATTATGAGCGAAACGACCAATTATTTCCAGAAAATCCGCGAACGATTACCAAAGGATTTCGGCCAAGTAATAAGTGTTTAGAACTGTAGGATCCAAACACGGTTTGGAGGTTGAAGAATAGCCTTCCGGGGACTTTAGACACGCGCCCTTTCCCGTCGAGATCAAAACAAGTAATCGGGTAAATAGCGCGTGTCTAAAGTCCCCGGAAGGCTATTCTTCAACATCCAAACCGTGTTTGGATCCTACAGTTCTAAACACTTATTACTTGGCCGAAATCCTTTGGTAATCGTTCGCGGATTTTCTGGAAATAATTGGTCGTTTCGCTCATAATGCCAGTTAATCGTCGAAGGAAATCAAGCTCAAAGTTCGTCGATGTTAATGAAGAATCCCCTATTGTCAAGCAAGTGCCTTTTGACGTCCTTAAGGGTCATGGTTCAGACTCAAATAGGGTTGATTATCATGGTAGTGATTCTAGTCTTAATTCGATGTCAGATGACGTAAAAAATCTTAGTTTAAAGGAGAAGCAAAGGCCTGAATTACCAGGAAAGAGCATGTTGCCTATAGTTCATGTTGTTGGCCCAGAACTACCAAAGGTTGAACTGAGTTATTTCGATGGAGAGCCAAGAGGATACTGGAAGTTTATAAGGCAATTTGAGACGTATGTAGCATCAAGAGTCACGGATGATAGCCAGCTTTGCTCTATTTGATACACTATTGTAAGGGCAAGGCTAAAACAGCTATTGAAGGTTGCGTCATGATGGAGGCATCCTCTGGCTATAAAAGAGCAAGGGAGATTTTAAAACGTTTTTTCGGACAGTCTCACGTAATTGCTCGAGAAACACTAGAGGATTTATTCAGTGCTGTGAATTTTGAGTATATTGACGGGGACCAACTACCAAACTTGGCTATTAAAATGGAAAACTGTGCTATGGCCTTGGAACAGATGAATTATACTTCTGATCTAAATTCCTTAGTTACTTTGGAAAGAATAGTGAGACTCTTGCCTCAACCTATGCAAGCCCAGTGGGCGGACTGGGTGGATAAATTGACTGAAGATAACAGGGAACCGACCTTCGACGAGCTCACTCAGTTTATCGCATCGCGTGCAAGAGTGGCTTGTAGTAGATTTGGACGGTTAGCAAACCGTTCAAGAAAAGGGCATAACGTAAAGACGAACTGTCACGTGCAATCAGAGCAAGGGAATAGTTCGACAACGAAAACTAAATGCAGTATGTGTTCCTACGACCACGCCATTGATAAACGTCCACAGTTCTTAGCGCTTACAGTGCAAGACCGATGGTCTCACGCTAAAAGCAAGGGTATCTGTTTCGTCTGTCTTAGACAAGGACATAGAGTTAAGGAATGTAAGCTGACAAAGCGTTGTAACGTTGAGGGTTGTGAAAAGAAACACCATTCCTTGTTGCACAGCGAGAATGAGAAACCTGGTATCTCGAATTGTTGCGGATATACTAAATCACTAATCAGTCAAGTGTGCTTAGGCATGATTCCCGTACGGTTGAAATCGTGAAAGGCCGAGATTGTGGGTTATGCTCTGTTGGACAACGGTTCTGATGTGACACTGATAAAATCACTGTTTGAGGTCTCTCGGGCTGAGCGAAGACGAAGCATCAGTGGTAGTTGAAACTGTGGGCGGTAATAGAACAATGAAGGTCGCGAGTGCGCCTTTTGAAGTATATTCTTTAGATCGACCTGAACATGTTACGATTGAAGGAGCTCTGATTGTGGCAGGTATACCAGGTCATAAGCCAACAAAGTCAGCAATGAACAACCTAGTTAAGTGGCCGCATTTAAATGATGTGCCAATAGATAGCCTAGATTCTGAAGAAGTTTTACTGTTGATTGGTTGCGACGTACCAGAAGCACATTGGGTGTTAGACCAACGGTTGGGTGGAAGGAAGAACCCGTACGCTGTGAAAACGTTGCTGGGGTGGACGGTCTTCGGACCTGCATCGTATCCGGATTATAGGAAAAGAGTGGTTAATCACACCAGTAAGATACAGACATTAGAGAACGAAATACGTAAGTTTTATGACGCAGAGTTTTCCGATGCTTATTCAAATGATAAATCATTATCGGTAGAGGATAAGGCAGCTATAAATATTGTGGAAGAGGGCACGCACTTCGACAATGGCCATTTCGTAGTTCCTATACCATGGAAAGAGAATCCAAATAGGAAAGTGGGAAACTATGAAGTAGCCAACAGTAGATTACAGAATTTGAAGCGTAAACTGTTGAAGGATAACAGTCTACACGTAAGGTATACCAAAAGTATTGAAAGTAATTTTACAAAGGGCTATGCGGAAAAGATCCGTGAAATACAATTGCAACCTAGTTATCGCCCCCGTTGGTACTTACCTCACCATGCAGTTATAAACCCGAAAAAGCCAGAAAAACTGAGAGTGGTCCTTGACTGTGCCGCCAAGTTTGCGGGTGTTTCTCTAAATGATATGATTTATCAAGGACCCGACACAACTGCTGATTTAGTGTGTATATTATTGCGTTTTCGCAAAGAAGCAATTGCAGTCTCTGCGGATGTTGAAGAAATGTTCATGCAAGTGAAGGTCCCTGAGTCTGATCGAGGAGCTTTAAGATTTCTGTGGTGGCAGGGGGGGAGACATGTCGAAAGAACCATCCGAGTTTCAAATGACATCTCATCCATTTGGCGCTATTTACCCGATTACTTGTTTTGATTTCGACGGGAAAGGGCGCGTGTCTAAAGTCCCCGGATGGCTATTCTTCAACCTCCAAACCGTGTTTGGATCCTACAGTTATAAATAAATATTACCACCCTGCTATTCAACCAATGATTGTTCTATCAATCAAATCAGTTACAACAAATGAACGTTATTCTATCCTGACTGGATAGATCACACACAACAGGAGGAACAAATCAATATGGCTAACGCCAAGAACAAGTGTCAAGTAAAACAACACAAATGCAGTTCAGGAAGAAACACAAACTTAGTGAATGCGTAATAAAAACAAAACTATAATAAAAAATACAAGTATTAACAATTCAAATGTAACCAAAATACAACAATGTACAACTAAGGGGATCAATAGGAACAAAGTACTAGTATATACATGGAGGGATTTTCACCAATACAAAACATTCAAAATGGATCTTACAACAAGTTCGACAGTTACTAATATGAATATAACCAAATTACAGAATATATGGCTTATCCTTTCCTATTATTCATTGTTTATTAATCATGAGCTTATGCTCCTAACCCTAGCTTTCAGTTCCCAAATCTCTACAGGTTAAATGTACATTATTCTTCCTAAAAGTCATGCCTGTTTTTCTACTGCAAGTAGACAGATAGCTCAATCTTATGGATGCTGATCTACTAAGGCCAATCATACAAAGCTCAAAATTTGGCCACAAAGTCTTGTGAGTTTCTCAATGTTTTATTTGTCTTACCCTGAAATCCTTTTTTTCTACAATTTTATACCTTCTCAGATCTTTTGATTTGCTATTAGCCCTTACTTCTTTAAACCATTAGTTATTTTCATAGCAGTGTGATATACTATATGGACATCTAACCCATAAGACAGACTTTTCAACTATCTGATGTGCTTGTAACATGGACCTAGTAGAGACAGTGTATTCCAACCATGGGCTTTGATTAAAGCAGTATTCATACTTACCACAAACGTGAGAGAGCCTAACATCACAAAAGGAGGGAGGGTGGCGTTACTAACCAGCAAACATGATGGTGGGGAGATAAATTCAATCCACCCATGTCTGTAGGGCAGAACGATTTGTTTAATTACGACTCCTTATGGTTTAGTGGGATGTCACGAACTTATGGTATTGATGCTGATTTATCACGCAAAATACCTCTTTAAGTCGTGTTACGAACGTTGAATTGGTTTCACTTCCTACCCAGGAATCCTATTACAAGCAAACCAGACAATTCGCTAATATATGAAGCCTACTCGAGACCCTATAATACCTGAAAATAATAATAATAATAATACAAAAAAACGAAAGGGGTTCTAATAGCTTCGATAATAAAATAGATGGCCAATTGTATATCACAATACTGTTTCTAGCACTATCTTTTATTTTATAACCACACATAATCCCATACTCTCAGCTCCTTTCCGAATCGCCTCCATTTGTCAGTTGTATGTCCACTCACACCTTGTTAACACTTACTTTCTTTAACCTATTAAAATGCTCTTTCTTAACAAACACCTTAATAAAAGAAAATTAGACTGAGTAATCATACCTTAAACATTCCTTCATGAATATTGGCTACTCTGTCTCTCGTGTTTTCTTTTACTTACTCCCTCTTTCAGCCCCCTTGTGATATGGGACGAAAGATTTCATCCTGCACCATCCTCAAAGCCTTAGACATTCCAAAAGGGACATAAGGTTGCGACATTTAGAAGCTCCCACCTTTAATGGACCTATCCTTGGCCATCAGTTGCGCATTTGCAACGCAACCTTCATGAAGCGCGCCAACTGTGGTACTGATTAA